TGGGTATAGAGAGGGGTTGTAAAAACCAATGCCCACCGCTACCGACTTTCAAACACCGCCCGGCTGCCTTATCGGGTAGGTTTTGGCTAACAAAAGGCTCTGGTTGTGAATTCCGCAAGAAAATTTACCTTTGGCTTGGGCAACCTGATAGTATCCCGTCCACGAGGAAATCATGGACCGTTTTCTTTGTATCGATTTTTTGCCACGGTCTGCACTCAGATGTGTAAATATATATATATATATATATACATAAGATAAACGATAGAAAGCATTTGAAGCTAGCACTGCCCCAGGCTGTAAAAACACTCCCTTAAATGAAAGTAATCTAAGGGATGAAAGAATTCACTGGGAAACCGGGTACTGCACCAAAAGACTCCGCATGTCTGAAACCTTCCTCGAGTAAAATATCGTTCATCTTGAAGTGGCAGACGATTCATATTAAAAGATTATTACCTTTGACATCAAACTTAGCCTCCTCGACTTCCGAAAAAATTCTCTCGCGCGAAACGCCACCGGAAAACAGCTTACAACCAATACGGTCCTCAATCCGGGTGGCCATCAACAGATCCAGATTAGTCAATCTTCCTGCTTTCTGACCTCTGAGTGATAATCCGACAGTATCGATCAAAATGGCACCTATAAATAACAATAGTTACATGGCCGTGGCCTGAACTTACCGTACAGTAATTCCCAAACGACACATGGTATACGATCCACACAGCTACTTTGCATCAACAATTCCGTGATAAGTGTAGCACAAGAACCAACACGTTCCATTCTCTTCAGTCTACAATTGGTTAACTGCTGATTGTCAGCCGACTCCAACTGATGATGATCAATGATCTCGATAACCGGCCACCGCATGTTCGCCAATCGGCCCGTGGCCTTGTTATGGTCCACCAAAATCAGCTGCGTTTTGCAAGCCTCTAGGTTGTGTTCCGGGGTCAATAAATCATCCGTGTAAATCAGGGAGTCCAAACACACGTGACAGTGATTGAGCCAAAAGACTACCTCGCTACGTAAATGCATATCGGCGCGGTTGACATAGCATAGCGGAATGACAACGGCAGTGTCACCTAGTTGCTGATCGAATAAAGGTTAAAAGATTGGTTTGGATTGGATTAAGGCTTACCATCTGTTTGAAAAATGCATAGGCCAGTGCACACACGGTACTGTCCAGATCGCACGCTTCGTTCCCGCTGACCACAAGCCAAGGACCGTCCACATTTGACTTCTGTATGTGTGAGATGAGGAAAATTTTCACTCACCAATTTTCGTACAGTTTCACGCAGATAAGAATCCATTTAATGGAACGCTGTGGTTGCCGAAACGAAAAGAAGTTGAGATTGCAATCTTTGAACAATTTTACGTGACCTGAAACGGAATCGAACTCGTAAGCAATATGGACGATGAGGTATTTTATTTTCTCCTGCATTAATTAACCAGTTCTCAACCATATCAGTGGAGAACCGTTCAATGGGAATGAAGTCCAAGTACAGATGAANGAAAAGTAGCATCAAAGTATCACAGATCCCGATGGAACCTATGATGTAAAACTTGAAGAGCACAGGAGTAGAAGATAAAAGCAACTATTAATTTTTTCAAGGAATCGCTTATTGCACCCCGAAGGGTAAATATTCAGCAACCACATAACCAGTGTCAACAGTTTTAAAAAATCGAAGTGTAATACAGCAATTCAAAGAAGTGAAAGGCACAGCAATACCAAAAAGCCAATGGTATAACCGGCTGTTTACAATTAGTTTAGTGTGGCATTTTACGCAGGTTTTCTGCAACGAGTTCATGGTTTGTAAGAGATCTGGCGAGATGCCATCACGACGAGACTGCACCTTGACGTGGTGTGATGGCTTGCGCGCCTCAGTGA